TGAATTTCTTTAAGGAGGATAATATGAACTACCAAATCGGCCTAAATTTGATTGATTACTGTAATTTTAATATTGTCTAACATGAAATCAACTAAGTCAATTTTTTGAAAAATTGGCTGACTAAGCTGGCTAAGCCAATAAAATCAACTAATACAAAATCGACTACAAATACTACTTAGCATTATTTTGTGTTAAGTGTTGTCTAAATAAATGAATAGTTTGTAATTTCCTTAATAAAGATAATTGATAGTAATTAAAATATCTTTTTTTTTTTTTTTTTTTAAAGAGTGAGACTTGATCTCAGTTTTTTATTGATAATATTTTGTATTATTATTACAATTTAATATCAAGATATTTTTATATATTTTGAAATTAAGCTATCTAAAAACTTTTGACTAAGGCTAGTTTACCTTCAGCCTAGGCTCTACTAAGAGAAGGCACTAAGTCTTCACTCAGATTACGTTTGATATATTGTGTTAGGAGATGCATTATATATGTAATATTGTTTGATCCATTTTATCCATTTATTCTAAACTATTTGCTGTAGATTATAATCTGTATTCGTTTGTATATTTTGTTGGTTTGTGTTTTGTATAAAGTTGTTATTTGTATTTTGTATTTGGTTATTATTTGTTGTTTGAGTTGTAGTTTTGTAGTATTTTTTTCATGTTTGGTTGTAGATCGTTTTGTAGATTTTGTGAAGTAGTTTGATGGTATTGGATTTCATTTTGTTTGTAGTAAGTGTGATCAATTTTAAGTCTTGTTTGAATGCATCTATAATAAGACTTTGAATTAATATTATAGTATTGCCATTAGCTGTAGAGTTAAAATTGTTGAAAAATCTATCTATAAATTTTTGTTTTTCACTATTTGTTGCTATATCTTTTTAATTTTTATCTATAAACTTTCTAGCTATATTGTTTGTAAAGGTGTTTATATTAGTTAGATTTATTAGACATATTAGCCAATAGGTGTTCAATTCGTCTTCTGCATTACAAATTTTGCATTGAGTTTTTGGGTATATGTGTGGATTTCATTTATTTAGATTCTGTAGGGTTGGCAGTTCATCCAAAAGGAGTTTTAGCTTGAAAGCCTTCAGTTTGGAGTAGGTTGGATGTGTTTGTTAAGCTGTTAGTTTGTCGTTGTAATAATGAATACGTATATTAATTTCCAGTTGATGTTTTGTATATTGGTCCACTTTTGTATCCTATTTTGCAAATGTCACATGACTAGATTTTTTGCATTTTGTTTGTTTCTAATTAGTTTTCTTGTTTTTTGTATTGTTGTGTGGTTGAACTATGTGAATGTATATGTTATATAATTAATTTGTTGAATTTTGGTATTATTTTTTGTATATTGACGTCTAAGGTTGTTTTGGTATATAATTTTGTGAATGCAGAAAATTCGCTTGGTATTAATATTAGTTTTAATTGAATATCTTTCCTTGTTATAAATGTAAAGATGTTGGTTCAGTATGGCTAGTATTGATTTTTTGTTATAATGTTCTTCTTTTTGTATTTGATTGTATTGTATTGTTAATATGTATTAATAATGTGGGTTGCTGTTGTAAATATTTTAAGTATTGTTTTGATTAGTATGATGGCTATTAGTATTAAGATTGCTATTAATATCGCTGTGGTTTTTGATGATCAGTTTGTAATTTTGTTAGTTAATTTGATATTAGTTTGGCAAATTTCCCAGATGAATCTGTATATGGGTTGTCTGGTGTTTATATCTTTATATATTGCTATTATTGTGTGTATTGCTTGTTTATAATCATATCTTTTGCTATTTTAATTAATATTATATTGGTTGTAGTTTCTGAAAACATGCTATTGCATATTTGTAGTATCGGTAGTAGTTTTTTAGATATTTGGCTAGTTAAGGTATTGTTACAATACCGTGGCCTTCTTAACAGCAGTATTATAACAATGACACGGCTACAGGGATCCTTCACAGGTTTATAGCGGTGTCCAACAAATAAGTATAATTTTTGCTTCTTGGAGAAACTATACCCTTCTGTCTGTAGCAGTTCGAGCAGACAATAGTTTATAGATAAAATATATATTTTATTATTGTATTAAAGATAAATAAGATAGGCTATCCTTAGATTTCTATTCCTAAAGAATCCTATAATATTACAAGAAGGAATTTAGGGAAGAGAGAAAGTGGGGTGGACAATAACAAGTCTGTTGTTATTTTAGGTCTAATGTTAACTTGGAGAAATTTACAGCCTTTTTATATCTTTAGAGCTAATCGCTAATTGTTGCAGCTAAGCGTAATTTACTTAGTGCTAAGCGCTAATTGCTAATTGTTAATTGCCAAGCGTAATCGCTAATCACTAAGTGTGATTGCTAATTGTTAATTGCTAAGCGTAATCGCTAATCGCTAATCATAAATTGCTAAGCATTAAGCATTAAGGCTAATCATTATACATGTCTTTTAAATTCTTCTCTAAATATAATAATAACTAATAACTAATAAAATACAAATATCGAAATAATAAAATAATACTAAGATAAAATAATGACTAATAAAATAAAACTGTTCTATAACATTTCCGTCCCCTTATAAAAATTTGCTTTGCAAATTTTTAATTAAAGACTAATACTCTTTATCAGTAAACTTAACAATGTAGGTGACAGTAAAGTATCGGGTTTGATACAACAGTTCTTTAAGTCGAATACTAAAGATTTGTTGAAGACGAGTGGCTCCTTTCCAAATATCTTGAGTCTTTCGAAAGCCTTGAGAAGCTTGGAGAAGTTCACAAATTTGAAGTCATTCGTTGGTCTGTTTCTGAATGAGAATTCCTAGGTACAGATAAGCTTCGATAATTTTTATTTGCTTAGGTCGAGTACGTCCTTTGTCTTCTAATTGTCGAATAATCTTGGTTAGTTAGTCTTTTCAAGTTTCATCTATAAAAGAATTAGGGTGAGTGTCCGATTGAGGGGTTAAGGTTTGGGTTAGTTTGTCTCAAACTTTTTAGTAAACTTCAGTGTCTGGTTCAGTTTCTGGTTCAGGAGAAGTGATGGTTGAGGTTGGGTTAATTTCTGGTTCTTCGGTTAGAAAAGTATTCAAGAGGGTATCCATGTTGATAGGTTCGGATGGAAGGTCCACTGTGGTATTTACTAGCGTAGTAATATCACTAGTATCATTAGGGTCATTAGGGTTCCACAAGAAAATATTTTGGGAACAAATTTCTAAATTATTTTGGGCAGCGGGGTCTTGTCTCCAAATAGTAAGAAAGTATTGGAGGGCTTGGATAGTTACAGGTTGCAAGGTGGTGTTGTGCATTGTTAATTGTGTATAAATTAGAGAATTTCTGAATAAGGAGTCTATTTATAATTTTTAAAGTTGTACAATTGTCTGTTTCGCAAAATTTTGTCTTTGTCTCTCCCCATCCAATAAAATTTCTTCCAGAAATTAAGGATTTTTGATAACAATGATTGGTTCCCATGTCTGTTTCTCATAATACTTTGCTAAACGGTCACTATTGTAATACTTCTGTAAAACTTTTCCTTCTAATATTCGTAGTTTATAAGCACCATTATTCATCTTAGCTTAAATAATAAACGGTTCTTCTCTTTTGTCTTCGAATTTAGCTGATCTTGACTTCTCTAAAGCCTTTAATTGTATCCAAACTTTTTCACCAATTTTGAATTTCTCTGATCTATTCTAGCATCAAAATATTCCTTCTGTTTCTGTTGTGACTTCTTGGTATTAACTTGAGCTTCTTCTTGTATTGCGGCCATTCTTTCTATTAGTTCGTAAACACGTTGTAATACACTATTCTGGAGATCGATTTCTACATCGGGGTCTGACATAGGTTCAGTAGGGATAATAGTTTCAATTGGTAGAGTAGCTTGTCTACCATACACTAGTTGAAAAGGCATATAATCAGTGATAGCATGTCTCTTAGTTCAATATGCTAAGAGAACAGCAGGTATATGTATATCCTATTCATCAGTTTCTTTAACCTTCGCGAGTAATTCACAAAGTGTTCTGTTAAGACGTTCAACTATTTCATTAATCTGTGGATAGTATAGTGAAGAGAACTTATGTTTGATAAGGAACTTTTCACATAATATTCGGATAGTTTCACTAATAAAGTTTCTTCCTTGATCTGACAGAATTATCTTGGGGGTTCTATGTCTACAGATAATTTCTTCAAAATTAAACTTTGCTAAAGTTTCTACTCCAGCATCTGATACAGCTCGGGCTTCTGGCCATCAGATTAAATAGTCTGTTGCTACAATAATATAGCGATTGTTCTGTTTGATTATAGGTAGGGGTCCAACTAGATCAATACCAATTCGTTCAAATGCTCGTCCGATTTGTATCAGGTGTAAAGGTTCTTTTCTTCTGCCTTTTTGTCTTTTCTGGCATTCTTTACATGTCTGTATATATTCTTTAATGTCTCGATATATCTGGTCCCAATAGTATCATTCAGCTATTTTGTAATACATTGTGTCTGTTCTTAAATGTCCAGCGATAGGATGTTTATGCATCATATAGAGAATGGGTTCTACTTCTGTCTATTTAATAACTCGTAAAGGTTTGTCTGGGTCCTTTCTATTCTTTTTGTAAAGCAAGTGGTGTCTAATTTTAAAATATCGAGCTTGGTTAATTAACTGTTTCTTCTGGTTTTCGGTAAAGTCTTCTGGAATAGTGTCTGTATCTAGATACTAGTATAACTCATGATACCGGTCTAAGTTCATGATAGCTTGGATTCTTTGGTCTGAGTCTGGAGTCGAGAAAGAGCATCAACATTGGAATGGATTCGTCTAGGTTTATGGATAATCTCAAAGTTATAAGGTTGTAACTTGAGTATCCAGTGTCCTAATCTTCCTTTAGGTTCAGCAGTGCGTAGCCATTTAAGAGCGTAGTGATCTGTAATTAAAATAAACTTGGTAGCTCCAAGATATTTATGAAAATGTTCAATGGCCCATACTATAGCAGCACATTCTAGTTCAGTAGCACCATAGTTCGTTTTTTCTTTCTTTAGGCTTTTACTAGCATAAGCTACAGGGTGTTCTTTGTTATAACTGTCGAGTTAACTAAGAGTAGCACCAAATCCATAGTAAGAAGCATCGGTTGCTAGTATAAATATTTTATGAAAGTCTGGGTATCAGAGTATAGGGGCACTAATGAGTCTTTGCTTAAGCTCATTGAAAGCTTCGTGTTGCACTTCAGTCCACTTGTAAGGTTCGTCCTTTTGTAACAGCTGATTCAAGGATTTTGCAATCGCAGAGAAGTTGCAAATAAATTGTCTATAGTATCCTACTAATCCTAGAAAGGATTGTAACTGAGTTACATTCTTAGGAGGTAGAATTTGTTGAACAGCTTCGATTTTCTCTGGATCTGGGGCAATTCCTTTAGGAGATATGATATGTCCTAAAAATGGTAATCTTTGCATCCAAAAATTACATTTTTCTATGTTTAATCGTAATTTGGCATGTCTGATTTTAGTAAAGACTTCATGGAGGTGTTGTAAATGTTCGTCAAAGGTCTTAGAAAATACAATAGTATCGTCTAGGTATACTACTACGAATCTCTACGCAATCTTGTCATAAACTTGGTCCATTAATCATTAGAAGATCGCAGGGGCATTACACAGTCCAAAGGGCATGACATTAAACTCATAAATTCCATAGCGAGTAACAAATGCAGTCTTTTCTCAGTCTCTTGGGTGCATAGTTACTTGCCAATATCCACTAGCGAGATCTAGTGTAGAAAACCAATGAGATCCAGCAAGAG